AAATTACACATAAGGTTGCTCGACGACTTGATGATACCGTGCAGCATGAAAGTTTCGCATTTCTAATGGCTCAGCAAAATTGAATGATTATTCTTTGCATTCAGTATGCCACCAATAGAGGTGCCGAAATCTAACACGGTTGATGCTAAGTGCATGGAATCCTTAGGATTAAATGTGAGTTGAGGTTGATGAAGTTTTGGATGAGGGCAAAAGATATCATGTAAAGAAAAACCTCCTGTAGTTACCAACCTGTTGGGTGGCATATATTTTCAGATTTCTCACTGACGAAGGCGGTTTTGTAGGTGCGAATAGACCGGTACGATTTCTCGACACAATATTCCACGCGCTTATCGCATCTATTTGAACATCGAACTTTTGCTTTGAAGACCACTCATCGAGCAATTCTGAATTCATCGTGTAGCTTTGTTCCACTGAAAAATCCACGAAGCGTTCATCACCAAACTTCTCTTTGTACATTGAAATCTGAAAATCTCCAATTGATGCAATCTATGAGCTTTGCTTCAATCTAAAACTTCTATACTCTCAGACTCTGATCAGAATAGGATATTTTTGCGAAATCCATGCAAAAGTTGCAGGTGTCTCTTGAGGATGCTTCAAAATCGGTTCACCATGGTGAACTGGATCTTTTTTTTTCTCTGAAAACAATACCACCAAAATGTCATGGAACATTGGAGCATGAATGCAACTCATTTCATCTTGATTTGCCCTACTCATCAGCCAGAAACATGGATCAAGAACTGCATTCGACACGATTGTTGTCAACAGCTTTAGATTATTACCTTGTAGATAATTTCGCCTTTCCGCGGCGCTGGATCAATGCTCCATGTCAAATTTGTTCGTAAGTCATCTTCAAATGCGATATCGCCGCTAAAATTCAATGCATTCGTTGGTGTCACATTTGCCGATGGTACCAAAAGGGATACTCCGTTCAACACCAGATTGAAGTTCAATGAACCAAGTTTCTTATCGCAAACACCCATCTGACCAGTCTTCGTTATGAACGCAAGTTTTTCGCCAGCAACCAACAACTGACGAATCCTAAAAGTATCGTTTTTGATGCACAGTGCGATTTGTGATAAACATCAAGTATGCACTCTTATTCATAATCATTTTTCATTGCACAGCTAATGTGCACCTAAATTGAAGCTTTCCAAAACAGTCGCTCTAACAGATGAATCAGAATACCCTGAAAGAGTCGTGCGAAGCTTCAGAAATTGATTTGCAGATATTCAGATTTGAAGGTTCACTTAAATTTGATGTCATTGTAATAAATGTTCAGTAGGAAAAAAAATTTTTTTTTTGAACTGCAAAAGAATGTAGAACTTACGGTGGAAAGTCAGTCGATGAAGCAATCAAATACGGTGTGCGAACGTCTTGATTCAATCCAAACAAACTTTTTGTTGCGTTCGGATGCTGAATCAGAAAATATACATCACCACTTTCATCATCTGCGGCTAAACCAGCAACCTCGCCACAGTTATCCAACGAATCACAAGAATAGATGCTGAAGTGAACAGCTCACAGATTTCTTAAATGTTCGAAGAAGGGCTCGTTCAGGGCTATTCATCACCTCCATAGATGTTACTTCTTAAGGCCATGAAATTCAATCACTTCTCGCTGTTCGGCGATGTCAAACAGTGTTGATTACGTTTCTGTATCTCAGCTCGCAGTAGAAACAAAGTTTCAGTGCATTTGCTGTTCAGATGATGAAAGGCTACATAAGATCACGACTGAAACGAAATCAACTCACAGTTGATCGAAAGAAGACGTGAGTCGATAGGATAAAATCGTATAATCCGAAGCAATAACGATCACAGAATACTTTGGCATCAAAGCCAACCACTGAATGGTGCTCGTCTCTAGGAAGAGATATTTAGAGCCGTCTTTGTGCAACCGATATAAGGTATTCTGAAATTTGATGGTGCTCAATTGTGGATGATTTCTTCACAGGACAACGAAATGTTTACTGAGCACGTGTCAAAATGATTCATTCACTAATAAGCACCTCATCATGTATTCCGACTACGTAGAGTGATTCGGTGGTAGGGTCTACGGCGAACGGTGATTCAGGCTGAGCTGGTAGCGCACTGCCTGAAAACAATCGTGATAGAATGAAGATGTGCTGAAAATGAATGAGCCGTACTCAAGAGATTACAGATTCATTAATTCAGCGACAACCCTAGGAACACCAGAGATTAACGCGGATCTAGGATAGACATGTTGAGCTCAACGAGTTCATCGCAATTACGAACATGAGATAATACATCAAGGAGACAATAATGGCGTGCAAAAGCAAACTAATTTCGTAGTTCTCCAGTGGCGATCCGAGTATATCGAAGAAATGTAACGTTTCGCCGGTGCGATTNTGCTCTATAAATAATATTTATTGACTGCAGAACAGGGACTTCCCTAATATGAATTTGCACGACGATATGAATTTAAAGGAAATCTGATAAGGGTACCTTACAAATGAGAGAAAATATGTGCATGGTATTTTTGCGATCATAGGTAGCGATTTACAAATGGATGAAGATTTGAGAATGCTCTTTCAAGAAAAAATAGGTTGAACTTCGTTGGATGCATATGCGAACAAACCATTGAGAGGTGCCAACGCAGTGTTGATAGCGCTAGTGAATGGCGAGCATACAGTAGCGACGCATGCACGAACTGTAGCATGATACTGTAGTCCTGGTGATACCGTGACTGCTAACGAAGTTCCGTACAGGTGAGTCAGTTCCGTCTTACCGCTCTTTTCATCCTCTTCATTTATCACACGACATTCATATCGAAGATTGCGCCACTCAGTACCACTCGCTTAAAACTTTGTCATAATGCATTCGTAGAGCTACGTTATGACGACTCAAATGAGACGTTACAGGCGAATTTTGACAAGCAAATCCACTGTTCATTCATTTGACTTGAAAAATGAACATGAACTGAAAGACTGTTTGGAATCACTTCTGACAACCTTGGAAGGGCATTGATATTGGTGGCTCCCAAGTGACCAGCGCTGAGTTGTCGGTAGTCATCAAGTTGATAGTATGCGGAGGCAGTAACGTCGGCGGGAGAGTACCATTACGCAGAAGAGTGAAATCGACGACACGTCCAGCGTACAAGTAACGATTCAGATGAATTTTCTAAATGTTGTCTTAATCACCTTTTGATAATGCAAGACAAATGACACGATCAATAGTACTGAAGGAATCCTA